GCTAAGCGGGGCGGTGCGAGTTGAAATTTTTGTGGGTTCAGTCCAAACCCGCCCGCACCCGCTCCGCCCTGCCCCACTGCCATCCCTAAACCTAAGTACACTTTGGGTTGGGTTGGGCAATGACCCATTTATTGACCTAATCCATCTTGACCCGCCCAAATTCAGCCCAACCCGCCCATTTGCCACCTCTATGTTGCATTTCATATAAATCATTTAAAGAAGGGAAGAGGGTCAAATATACCCCTCTACTTTGGTATATTGTTCATATCTACCCTCCGTTATACTATCGGGACATATCTACCTTTACCGTTAGCCAAACTTTTTAAAAATACTCTCCACCTAACGGAAAGCCACCAAATTAAAAAAATACCTTTTTTTTAAAACCCATTAAACCCATTTTATTTAATTACTACACTTCTTCGTTACATATTAGTCATCTCCTTCGTAGTCACTTATTGAACTCAAGAAGTGAAAGACATAAAAATATCGACAACCATTTATTCATTTATACATTGAGTCCCAATTCTTTTAATATCCTTATTGTATATATATATATATATATATATTTTTTGTGAAAAGAAAAGATTCTTATTAATCACCTACTAAAACAGTCATTTTACAAAGATGTTCTCTATCTCCTACATCTAGTATCTACAAAATTGCAACTGCATATCCTATGTGATTATGCAGTTCAGCTATTCTACTCTGTCTCCCTAATTCTATATATACAAGTTTTCTATTCATTCCATTTGTCGCTTGCTTGTTTTTCCTTTGTTATGTATCTTGTATCTGCATTCCTCATTTATGTTTTTGCATATTACTTGTTCTTTTGTCACCACCTGATTCCATACTACATCATTCATGTTCTTCCATGTCGCATATATCAGTGCAGCAAATACTGAGAGTACGAAAGCTCTGCATTGCTTCCCTTTTGCTGTCCTGTTTAATGTTTTCCACACTGTTTCAATTGACTCACCAATTCCCTGCATTCCCATCCAGTTTAGTAGTTCCTTGGCACATCTTTTAGACCATGTACATTCAAAGAACAAGTGTTCCCTTGTTTCTTCCTTCTCACCACATACTTTACATGTAGTGTCAACAATTATCCCTATCTTCTTCATTCTATCCATGGTCAACAATTTTCTATGTGATGTCAACCAACATATGTAGTTATGTTTTGGTGTGTTTCCTAAGTTCCACACCCATCTGATGTCCTGCCAGTATTCTTCATCCCCCATTCTCCATTTATAATCATTTGCCATAGTGTATTTCCCATTTGGAATCAACCATCCTTCCTCCTTGAAACCTGTTTTAAAGATATCTCTGATTTGGCAAATCTTTTTCCAGTACCAACTATAGTCTTGAGGGTGTTTGTACTGCCACTAGTCTGTTCCTTTTATGTATATGTGGTTTACCCATATGATCCATATGTTATCTTCTTTATTTGCGATATGCCATACATATTTCTTTATTGCTGCTTCATTCCATAATACACAATCATTGATACCCAGTCCTCCTCCCTTTTTTTTTTGCAGACTATCTTCCAAGATATCAGTGGGACTCTATTAGTGTGCACTTTCCCATACCAGAAATAGTTCCTGCATATCCCCGTGATATCCTTTAGGACCTTTCTTGGCAGTATAAATATTGACGCCGAGTAAACATAGAGATTCATCAGCACTGAGCTGATCAATTGTGCTCTCCCTGTATACGATAGATTTCTACTCCCCAGGTTTTAATTATGCTTGTCATTTTTTCCACCAGCATTTCACAGTCCATACTAGACAGTTTTTTTGGTGATATAGGCACACCTATGTATTTAAATGTTAGTCTCCCTTCTTTATAGCCTGTTAACTCACATATCTCAAATATCTGTTGCCTACTCATATTGGCACTGAAAATGTTGGACTTTGGACTGTTTGTTGTCAGCCCTGATGTTTGAGAGAAAGATGCCAGATCTCTGATTAACAACATTATTGCTTGTGATTCCCCTTTGCAGAATAGAAGTACATCATCTACAAAGCATAAATGATTCGACCCTAAGCTTTTATATTTTGGATGATATGCAATCCCCTTTTGCTGTCTAACCATCTCCATTATTCTTAAGAGATATTCGATACAGATCACAAATATCAGTGGTGATATTGGATCCCCTTGTCTCAATCCTCTTTTCCCTTCAATGTTCTCACATAAGCCCTCATTTATTGCTAATGAATAGCTTGTAGTAGTGATGCACTCCATAACCCATTGAATGAAAGTTGTATGGTAGTTCAGTGCCATCATCATTTCCTTGACAAACTCCCACTCCACATTGTCATAAGCTGTCTTTAAGTCAATTTTTATCAGACAACTCTTTGTTGTAGCCTTTATGTTATACAGTCTTACTAGGTCCTAGCATATCGATATATTTTGTACTATTGATCTTCCTTCTACAAAGGCACTTTGACTTGGTGATATTATGGTTGGCAAGATTTCTTTTAGTCTACTACATAATACTTTAGAAATCACTTTATATATAGTATTGCATAAAGTTATTGATCTGTAATCTCCCACCGATTCAACATGTGTCCCTTTTGGAATCAAAGTGATGACAATTTTGTTAAGTGCTTTCAGCATCTTACTAGATTTGAAGAATTCAGTTACACATTCCTCTACATCTTTTCCAACTATGTCCCATGCATCTTTGAAGAATTGGATACCATATCCATCAATCCCTGGTGATTTCTCCTCTGGTATGCTCCATAATACTTTTTTGATTTCTTCTTTTGTGACTGTCTTTACCATTTTCTGTTTATGATCTTCATCAATGATTTCCCCTTTCCTTATTAGTGCACTACATACATGTGACCTCTCCCTATTTGTTGTCCCTAATAGCTTTGTGTAAAACTCAATGAAAGCTTGAGCCACAGTTTCTGGTTGGTCCTGTTCTGTCCCAGTAGAATCTTTGATGGAGAAGATCATGTTGGTATTCATTCTTGCCTTCATATACCCATGAAATATTTTAGTATTTTGATCTCCATGTTGCATCCATGTGATCTTACTTTTTTGCCTTAGGAATTGTTCTCTTGCATGTTGCCATTGCATGCATTCTCTGGCTAAGCTTTGCTCCTCCCCCCTTAGGCTCATATTATAAGGGTCCTTTTGTATCCTCGTCTGGCATACCTTGAGTGTCTCCATACTTTGTTCTGCTTTGATTTCAACCTTTGCAAATTTTCCTTTGTTTAGGATTTTCAGCACCCTTTTCAGTCTGTTTAGTTTTCCCACCATTTGATACATTTTAGTCCCCATGATGTGCTTTTTCTAGTTCTCTTTCACTTTTTCATGGAAGTCACTAGCCATACTCCACATGTTAAAGTATCTAAACATTCTTTGTTGCATCTTTCCTGGTTGCACCCATCTTACCAATGCTGGGCAATGATCAAACAGTCCCTCATTTTGGTAGTACACTTCAGAGTCTGGTAGTGTTATCAACCAGTCATTATTTATTAGAACTCTATCAATCCTGCTATCACTTTATCTTCTCCTTCATGTTTGTTATTCCATGTATAGAAGGATAGTGATGATTTCATCTCTTGCATCTCACATTTTTGTATACATTCTTTAAATCCTTTTATTTCTGCAAAAGTAACTTTGCTTCCTATTCTTTCATCTGATTGCAATACACTGTTGAAATCTCCCATTGTTGCCCAAGGCCCTTTTCTTTGTTTATGAATTTCCTCTATGTCTTCCCATAGTTTTCTCCTCATGCCACAGTCATTGAATCCATATACCCATGTGATTTCTATTTCCCTTTTTGTTCCAATGTGCTTAATAGCACAGTGAATCACCTATTTAGTAGTTCTTCTGATGTCCACTTAATAGATATGAGGTTTTCATAATAACCAGATTCTTCCACCGGGGTGCTTGTCCAGATTAGTAACAAATGACCATCTCTTACAAAGATTAAGAGAGGCTTTGTGAGCCTTTTTCCTCTTAATCCTTGTCTCTAGGAGCCCAAACATTCCTACTTGAGAGTTGTGCACAAAGAGCAACACTTCCCTCTATTTTTGAGGTTTGTTTAGGCCTCTAACATTCGAGAATCCTAACTTATCTGTGGGGATGGGGCCCTGCCCCATTTCCCCCACTTCCTGGACCCTCCCTTTTTTTATTTACTCTTGTGTTTGATGTACTAGTTTTCTGAGCGTTTTGATTACCACCAGTTTCTTCCTCTGTATTCCTCAATGCATCAAAGGTATTTCCTACTGATATTGGTTTTTTTACTTGCCAATTCAACAACATCTGAGTTCTGCCTTTTTCTGCCCCTCCCTGTTCTTTCTTTGTGGCTTGTAGTCTCTCATTTTCCTTATGTTGTTGCTCCACTATTACTTCAGTACTTTCATTCTGTGTTTTCTGTCCTTCAATTTCTTTCTCTTCTCTTTTTTTTATCTGTGCAAATTTTTCCTCTTGCTTCTGATTTTCCACATCATTGCTTGTGTCTTCTCCATTGGTCTGTTGTGCCTGTTTTTATCGTTGCATTACTTCATTCCTTCTGCATTCCTCTATGGTGTGTCCAAAGTTATTATATTTCGTACATAAGATTGGTTTCCATTCATAAACTACTTCCTGTTCCACTGTCTTCCCCATCTCATTTTCAAACATCACCTTGGAAGGATACTGTTGATTTGGAGTCATTTCAATTAGTACCTTTGCAAATGTTAGCCTCTCCTTCTTGTGGTTGCACTATCCGCTCGCAGAGATTTCCCAATTAGCCCAACAATTTTTGTTAGAGTACATTTTCCCCAATATGTGATGTCCAGGGCCATTAAACGAACCCAGACTGGAACTCATTCAATTGATTCTTTGGTACATTCCATATCCCGCCTCCATAGTTTCACCACAACTGGTTTTCTGTCAAATATTCGTATTCCCTCTTCCACCACCTTATTCCGACTTTTTACTTTATGAAATCTTATAATAAACACCCTCCTATTTATTTGCACAATTTTGTCAATCCCTAGTGTTCCCCATATACGGCGAAAGTACACCTCCATTACAATTTGGGAGGGATTGGACCCAAGCACATAGCAGATCACTGCTGTATTCCAGTATTCAACTTCTTCTTGAATGTCATCCATTGTTATTTTCACATTGATTACCCTTTGTTCTCCCACTAGCAAGTCATTATCATTTTCCTCTGGGATCACCCCAACAATTTTACTCCACGATGAACTTAGGGTTTATGATTTACCTTGTTCTGAGCTTTCCGCCTCCTCTTCTACAAGATCCGCCCATAATTTGGTGGATTGATATCCCGATGTTTGAGCTAATTCCTAATGGTATAACCATCTGCTCGATCGGTAATGGTGTTATCCCTTGTAACACATTTGGATTTTTGAATTTTTTCGCATCTGCAGTTTGAGGTCCATTCCTTGGCTATTGATTTCCTCCACTTTGTGTGTTTTTCCCCCTCTCGATTTTGTGTTCCTCACCATGGTCATCTTTCACTCAGGAGGAGCGCTCATTCTAGAGAGAGAAAGTTTTAATAAGCTAAAAATATTTGACAGAAGTTTGTGCTAAAAATTAGCAATTTTTTCTATTGTATATTTATTATATTCTACCTTTTTCAATTTGTTTTCTTCTAACTTCTCTCTTTATTTTTTCCACCATGTCGAACTATACCAAGTATTCATAATGATTTTCTTTCCACCATGACTTGAATATTTATAACATCTTATTAGGTTTGCAGTTTTGAAGTCTTAAGGCAGCTCCCAAAGTATTTCTTCCTCCAACAGTGAGCCTTTATTGATGAGTATTCACGCACCGTAATTTTCTTATTCTGCGTTACGCATTTGGGCAACAAGTAATTATCGTCAAATCACCCCTTAAGAATCAAAGTTAGATTCCAAGATATAGGATGCGATACTAATAATTCTTCGTAATAATTGAACTTATAATGAACAAAAATTAAAAAATAATTAGAGGAGATTCAATGTAATATCAAGTTACAATTCGAGGAATTCATCAAGAATGAAAGAAAGTATGCTAACAAGTTTGAAAGAAACTTAACAACCTATGTACACTAACTTAATGTATTAACCAAACACAAGTATTATTAAAGTATATATCAGTTGTTACCAACATACAAACTAACTGTCAAGTATGTATTACATTAGACAAAGGGATGACATATTATAACCACACAAAAAAAATAACCGAAAGTGATAACATGACATCCTAATGCCACCATGAACAACTAATAACCAAAAATATAAGTTCTTACTAATCCTACATCCATCATCATTCCCGATCTCTCTCTAAATGAATAAAATGTATTAAGACGTCTCAGAAATTTAGGTTCCGTATTTTTAAATAATGGCTTTGGCGGGTTTGGGTTATTGAATTTTTTTAAAAATGATTATTTTATTAATCTGGTGGCTTTCCGTTAGGTGGAGGGTATTATTAAAAAGTTTGGCTAACGGCAAGGGTAAATATGACCTCATAGTATGACGTACGGAGGATAAATATGAACAATATATCATAGTAGAGGGGTATATTTCACCCTTTTCCCTTTAAAGAAACATGCAGTGGTATATAGTTTCACAAATAAAAACTTAACAATCTTTATTAATTATCAACACTAGTGGAGGACTATAGTCTTCCTTATTCCTTTAGTGATACAGACTATAACAGTGAAATGATCCCACCAATACTAACTACAGATAGTAGTACTAGTAATTCTAGAGCTTATGAAATGTAACTTTCAAAGGTTGATCAGATCTAGAACCAATAAACAAAACCCTTTTGCTACCTTCAACAAGTATTCCAATTTCTCCACAGAATGGTCTGCATGTCTCACAAACTCCAGGACAATACACAAGTTTGTAAGCATCCTCGTACTTGTCAATCCTAAACCAATTGCTCAATGTTTCACGCCCAGGATTTCCTTCTACTCCACCAACTGTCACCAAATAACGCTGCGGAATTAATTCAGTGTTAATTCTCCATACTGTAGACGAATCAGAGATATGAATAGACGTAAATTTCACGTTCAGATCAGTTGATATTCCGATGATGTTTTCGTTAGGGTTCACAGGTGAAAATTGAAGGTAACCGCCGATTGAAGATTCATCCGCATGTTGGCTTACGACTAACGGGTTGGTTCGGTTCCTAATGGAAGCCACCTGAAGTCCACCGCCGTTGCCCCGACCCGCCGGAAGGATATAATAATTCACTCCTGTCCGGACAGCGTTACCGGAAACGTCGAGCACCGGGTCAGGAACATCCTGAGCTTTTACGAGGAATAAAAAGCTTGTTGATAATGTAACAAGAAGAAAAGGTACCATGAATCGTGCAACGTTAAAAAATTCCATTGTTAAACTAACTTGTGAATGGATAAAATAAACTTAGAGAAGCAGCGCTATTTGTAGAACTGGATAAAGGTTGCGTAATATATGGAGTAGTTTCAAAATTATCAGTCACTTCAAAGATTTTTCTTATTCAGATCGATGGAATTGACTATCAACTTTTCTAGCCTTTTAATCTTGTATAAAGCCGTGATTATAAATAATGTATGGTTTGACATTTTTTCTATGTAACCTATATGCATGCCTTACATTTTACACATTAAGCAGTGGGATAGCAATAAGAGTATTATCCTCGTAGAATCTTAGTTGAAATTCTTGTACATATTTGAATTGTGTACTCAGCTTTTCAAATGTTGAACTATATTCACAAATGGACGAAGTAAGAGACGTAAGCCTCTTGTACAAGTACACTTGGGATTAAGGTGGATCTATAATTTGAAGCATATAGGTCCGCACAACATACTCTTGCGATCACGCATAACGAGAATTTAGTGCACTTGACTTCTTTTTTTGCCGTAGGTTTGGTATTGTAATTTTTTAATGTTATATTGGCTTCTAAATTAGTAATAATTTATACATATTTAATGATTTTTTTAAAAAAATATATAGTTTGAAAAAATACTACTCCCTCCGTTTCAAATTAGATGAGATACTTTCCTTTTTAGTCTGATCCAAAATAAATGACACATTTCTAAATTTGGAAATAATTCAACTTTAAATTCTTCATTTTACATATTTTACCCTTAATGGGAAACATTTATAACCATACAAATATCATGGCCCACAAAGTTTTTACCCCTTAAGCTTTTAAGACCACAAGTTTCAAAAATCTTCTTTTTTTTCTTAAACTCCGTGCCGAGTCAAACTAGCTCATCTAAGAGCCCGTTTGGACATAAAATTTGATGGAAGTTTTTTTCAAAAAAAATTTACTTTTTTTCGAAATCAGCGTTTGTTCATAAAATTTCAAATTTTCAATGCATTTTGGAAATTTTCGAAAATTTGAAAAACTCCAAAAAGATGTTTTTCAAAATTTTCACTCAAAACACTCACAAAATTTAAAAAACAACCCAAACTGAAATTTATGTCCAAACACAACTCTAAATTTCAAATATCATTTTTATTTAAAAAAAATTTTCGCAGTTTTTTCGAATTTTACAATTCTTATGTCCAAACGCCTACTAAATTAAAAAAAAAGGAGTACTAGATTTGGCGAAATCCGCAGTCGACATCTCCGCCTGTTTGACAATAATAGCCAACTTTATTTTGATCGCTGAATAGAAAGGTCAACGACAAGCTAGGTGCGTCTATCTTGGAAAAGTCTAAACAAATACGTGCGGAGTTTAATACCGAAGCAGAGCTATTTATATAGAACTCCATTTTTTTTAATCTTCCCCTCCCCTTTGATTACCTTGTTTGAGTTATTGCTTCTTTGGTGATTCAAACCCATGACCTAAGAATGTAGGTGGGGAATACTGACCATCTTAACAATCCCTCTTGCATATAGAACTGCATATATATGAAAGTCTAAATATATTCTCCTGATTTGCAAGATAAGATTTTCGTTTATGATATCATTTGAATCTTCTACTAGTTTGAAATTTTGCACTCTCTACGATTATTCCAACCCCCCCCCCCCCCCCCCCCCC